GAGAGGGGCCATTTAAGCAAAGAAAAATATATAATATGTTGGATGATGGTTGACAAGTGGAGAGGAGTGGGTCTCATGGAGATCTGGACAATAAGTGTCCCAGGCAGAGGGGAAAGCAAGTGCAAAGGTCCTGCGGCAGGACTGTGCCTGGCACCATTGAGAACAGCAAGCCCAGTGAGGGGGAGAATGAGGGAGATGAGGTCCGGATCCTGCAGGACCTGTGGCTATGGTGAGGACTTTGCCTTTTACCCTGGGTGAGGTGGAAGCCAGGACTGGGGGAACAAAGATGTCTTGAGCAGAGAAGGGACAGGATCTGATTTCCTTTTAACAGAACCAGACTGGCTGCAAGTAGAGAACAGATTGTCACAGAGGCAGAAGGAGAAGCAGCGACCTCAGTAAAGAGGCAACTGTAATGGTCCAGAGAAAGATGATGGCCACTTGGCCCAGACTGACACCGTAGAGGTGACAGGAAGTAGCCAGCGTCCAGTTGCAGGCTGAGGGCAGAGCCAATCAGGTTCTTTTTACTGAAGCATGGAAGCAGCTGGGCTCTACTCATGTGTTTTGGGTGAAGGAAGTTTGAGACCAGGTTTGAAATAGAGATGTGGCGATCAAAAGGGATTTCTTCTGCCTTTTTTTTTAAATCCTCACCTGAGGATATTTTTTCCATTGCTTTTCAGAGAGAGAGAGAGAAACATAGATGTGAGGGAGACAGATCCATTGGTTGCCTCCAGCTCATGTCCCAACTGGGGCGAGCCTGCAACCAAGGTATGTGTCCTTGGCCGGAATCAAACCCAGAACCCTTCAGTTCACAGGCAGATGCTCTAACCACTGAGCCAAATCAGCCAGAGCAAAAGGGATTTCTTCTTATAACCTCCTGGGACTTGTGTCATGCCTCATTGAAAGGAACGGTTTAGGTCTTCATGGGCTAACAGGGAAAACACCTGGGACACATTGTCGAGTGAAAAAAGGTAGAGGCAGAATAGAACGAGAAATGATCACATTTTTGAAAATTATGAGTATGAGCGAATGAATGGTCTGGAAGAGAAGGCACACCTGGCTCTCAACGATCTGGAGTGAAGGTTTAAACTCCGGATTGCCCTTCCTGCCACGCAAAATAAAATGATAATAGACCCCGTTTTTACTTCTTTTCAACATTGCTGTGGCATGGCTCCCCGCTGCCATCACAACACGCTTTTCTTAGCCAGTGTCCCTACCTGGGCCTCCTCCTTGGCCTGGACTGGAAGGGAGGTGGAACTTGGAAAGGAGAAATATTTTCCCCTCGTGCTTGCTGGCTTGGGAGAGCTGGAAAGGGCCCACCTGGCTCCTAAAGTTTCTAAAAATAGAAAGTTGTCTTAATTTTCCTATAGTTTTGGCTTAGCCGTTCCTTCTACTTGTGCCAAGATGCTGTTTGTATTAGAGAATCGTTCGCTGTGCGTGAAGATACAGGCTGGCAGGGGCGAGGCCTGAAACGGAGCAGAACAGGCCGGCAGCTGCCACTGGAGGTGCTGCCAGTGTGGACGGCACCCCTTCCCCACCCAGCCCCTGCACCCACTCCAGCGATCCGGCAGGAAAGAGCAGTTTGGCTCTTGGTATGTTTTAGCTGAGAAGAGGAAGTTGAGGGGACTGTGTCCAAGGCCCAGCGCCTGGAGTTTGAATCTTTCTGGGTAAGGGCTGAGGACAGGCCACGACAGGGCTTCTGAGACCCTAGGCACAGGCATATATGCTGTGGGGCCAGTGTGTGCTGGTAAAGGGTTAACAACAAGCTCTCCGGAGAAAGTGTGTGTGTGCGCGCACACACGTGTGTATATACAAATATGTGCACATACACATGCACACGCACGCACACACTCACATATACTTAGGTTTATCATAGGCTGTATTGATGTAAAGGATGTGTAGCACACAATTTACAAATAAAAATAAAATTTATGCCCGGCTGGGGCGTGGCTCAGCGGTTGAGCATCGACCTGGGATCCAGGCGATCGGGGTTCGATTCCCAGTCAGGGCACATGCCCGGGTTGCGGGCTCAATCAATGACTCTCTCATCATTGATGTTTCTATCTGTCTCTCCCTCTCCTTTCCTCTCTCTGAAATCAATAAAGATGTATTT